CGTACAAACAAGGCGAAGCTGATAGCTTGCTGACCCCAAAGTAGGTGCTGTAGAAAAAAAATACGACAGACAAGATTGGTGCAAGGAAAAAAAGCAACTGAATCTGTACACTGAAGAACGTTGGTCACCCACACGCTAGGTCCACATGGGTTCACTGCTAAATTCTAAGAATAATTCTATCCTCATAAAATCTCTCAGGGAAAAAGGAAACCCTTTTGGTTATGGGGTGGGGAGGACTGGAGAGGTAGCTCAAGGGGGCAGTCAAGGAGGCAGTAAACTATGGTGAGCTCAAGAGATCTACGGTAGTATGGTGACTATTTCCTAACAATGTATTCTACACTTGAACACTGCTGAGAAAACAGGTTTTAGAGGCACGTGATAGCTGAAGTCCTGTTTCCTGGAATTTTGGTTGCTTTCTCTCTGTGTTAGCTGGAGGGAGCCACAGGGAGCAGCCCGAGCACTCAGGGTTCATGTGTGATGTGGCTTGGCCTGGGCTCATCTCGTTGCCTGGGCAACGGTCAGGCCTGCAGCTGCTCTGTTTTCCCAGGAGCTGCTTCGGGTGCTTTGGGTCCAGGCATGCTCCTGTGTGTGTGTGTGTGTGTGTGTGTGTGCGCACGCATGTGCTGTGACAAAGGACATTAACTCTCCTAAGGACATCTCTGAGAGGCCTTGTAACCAGAAGTTTAACTTTCAAAGAAGTCAGTGAAATTCATCATTTTAAACAAATAAAGGAGAAAAAATGGTTATTTCAGTAATACAGAAAAGCTCAGTCACTGGCCCTACCAAGTTCTGTTGGGTTTATACGAGGAGAAGCAAGAATTTTTCTTTGGTTTTGCTGTTGTCTGGTCATTAGTAACCTTGAAGCAGTTTCAGTGACACTGATAGTGCAACGTATGCACAGACACAAGGATTTGGAGGCAGATTTACTTACATCGATGGGCACTGTTTGGGGTCATCCCCAGAATATCAGACCCTGATCTCTGGTGGTCCAGGGCTTTTTTATCACGCACAATTAGGAGGTACAAAGGTGAGACAGAGCCGCCAGGGAGATCTTTGATTAGCTGCAGGGTGAGCCCATCACCAACAGGAGCAGATTAAAGATTATCAGTTCATGAAGCTCGGTACACGCACATTCGGGCATCCTGCGTGTTGGGAGCCAAAGCAGTTACCGAGCTGGGCAGTTTCAAAAGAACAAAGACTTAAAGAAAGAACAGTTTCTCATAGAGTTCTTCCCTTTCAGCAGGGACTGAATCCTGTTAGAGAATTTGAAATGGGACAAGTCAGTAGAGACACTGGCCATCCACAATACGTAGACAGACTACGCTGTGGACAGCAGAGCTGTGGTCCTCGGGATGATGTCTGTTGGACGATGGAAGATCTTAGTGCGTGATGGGGAAAGAGGTGGCATTGAGGCGTGGGCGAGTACAAGCAGGTTTTATAGGCTACTGACAGGGCGGACTGGGAAGAGGACTGGTCGGTCTTCCCTGTCTTAACTCTGTAGTCTTAAGAAGATCGGCAAAGTGGGGGAGCCTGGAAGAGTGTTACCCAGAAAGCACATAGATTGGAGAGGGAGAGAGGACATGGGGTGGTTAGATGTGAATGTTCCAGGGGGCGGAGATGACTGGAGGGGCCGAGCCCCGCATGCAGAGCAGGAGCATCCGCGTGGTGGGAAGGTTTGCTGCTGGCAGGCGTTTAGGCCACTCAGCAATCCACTTTGGAATTGGGTTTTGTTTCCGAAGAGCTGGAGTCTGATTGAGAAGCTGACGGTAGTTATTTCTCAGAACTCTCCCGGTCTGGATGCTGGGGAGAGTTGGCAGGGTATCAAGGGGCGCACAGACAGTGACAAGTCCTGAGAGTGCATAGGAGAGAGGCCCCGCTGGGTTGGGGGAGGTGGCAAAGCTGTGCCATGTTGCTCCCCAAGTGGGGGTGGGGGTGTCCCCTCAGTGCAGTGCATCTTGGGGTGGTGGCCAGGGAGATGGGGGAGCTGGGGATGCTCATCTACCGCCCGTCCAGTTGGGATGAGTGTCGGTGACTTCAGGCTCTGTGCGGTGGTCATGGCAGCTGAATCTGGATGGGCTGATTGGGACGTTGCGGTGTGTGCTGAACATCAAGCCTGCCTTGTGCTAGTTTACCTTTTTAGTGACTTGTGTAAGGCCCAGAACTCCTCACTAACAGTGCGCCTCCTGGTTGCTCCTAGTCTCACGGCCGGGGCTCATTACCTTTGTCTTGGTGTCAGGTAAGCAGAATTGCTAGTTGTTTCCAAAGCTGAGTGAAGCTAGGTCTATGCTTGTGAGCCGTGCATGTCCTTGATCTTCAGAGTTTTCCACTGAGAGTTTTGAGGACTGCCTTAACACCTTGTTGGCACTGGGACATGAGATTAAGAGCCCCATGAATCTGCCTGGGTTTATTTTTGTGGCTGTGTTTTACAGTTGTCTTATAAAGACAATCCCTGGGTTTTGTTTTGATTCTTTGCATTTTTGGAGTCACTGGGTAGCATGCTTCCAGAATAACTATCTGATGATAGCTTTCAACATTGGGTTACCCACGGGGGTTGTTACACGTATGCATTAATTCATAATTTCAGGTTTCTTCAGTTATTTATGTAAATTCTTTACTGAGCTTTCTGATTGCACATGCTAGGAATCTTATGTTTGTACTGAACTTTAGCCCTCAGGCATTCTTGCTTATTACACCGAGAACCCTAGACGCCCCAAACATTTCGAAATGCTGTGGTTTCTCCCCTGTAGGGTGAGTGTGTGATTCATTTTCCTCGCTGGGTGACAGAGGCTGGATCAGATAAAAGCACCGTAACGCGGTTCACTTGCCAGTGTTCCTGTTCCATGTACGCAGTGTGCTCTTTGCAGCCATCAGAGCTTTGTTTCACATTTCTGCTCTTTTTTTTAAAAAAAAGTAATTAAAAAATAAAACAAGGCAAATCAGAACAGAACAATGCAAGCCACACAGGACTTCAAAACAAGACAACAGGAAATCAAAAGTGGTTACCATCATGTCTTCTGCTTTCTTCGAAATAGCTGTCCATACCCTCACACACAATAAATTCAAACAAAAGCAAATAGTTTAAGACCAATCAAAACAAAAGAATGGAAACATTACGGGACTTCAAAAGAAGGCAACAAAAAATCAACAATGACTACCATAAAGTCTTGTTTTCTTCAAAATAGCTGTCCATACCCTCACACATAATAAAAGCAAACAAAACAAAATGGAATTAAACCAAAGAATGAAGGCATTGTAGAACTTCAAAACAAGTGCATTTCTGCTCTTAAATCACTGCGTCTTCTCCGCCCACCTACCTAGACCTGAAGTCTCCGTCATTCCCTTCTCCTCCTGTCGCTGTCTGAGTACATCTCGGTCAAGTCCTCGGTGCGAATTCCCACATTTGTAGCACAGGATCTTCCTGATGAAAAGTAGTTGCCTCTTATCCCTCCCGAGAGATGCACAATCGCGCCTTCCCAGTCTCTGTCTGTGCCAGGAAACTGTAACCCCTGCCCACGCTTTGACTCTGTCCTCGGATGAGCCCTGCCCTCAGGAACGTGGCGTTATCTGACACTGCCCCCGGGCAGGCTGGGAGTGGCCGAACTGTAATGGATTCCCGTGCCCTGTGGGGTCTGGCCCGTGCTTCCTCCTCACTAACCATGCTGGCCTTCTTCCTGGTCCTCTGAGAAGCCACGATCATTCTGGCTGCAGGCCTCGCTCACCCTCACCTCCCTGTGCCCTCCCTTTACCATCCGAGCTCTTCCTGCTGGCCGTGTCCCCCTCAGCCGAAGCATCGTGCTTCCTTGACCCTGCACGCTGCAGGAAGCCCCGGCCCAGCCGTTCCCTCCTTTTCGTGTCTGCCCCTAATGTCCCTTCGCCGCTCTCTTCCACACAATGGCGTATAGAGTCTGCTAGGAGAGCCCAGGATTCTCTTCCTCTCAAGACTCTGAGCTCTGTCACATTGGCAAAGACACCTCTTCCAAAAAAAGGTCACATTCAGAGGCTTTGGGCATTTGATGGGAACCTTCTGGAAGACGGATTTGGGGGACATGATCCAGTCTAGCAAATGGGGGGCAACACAGCTTCATTTAGGAATGTACGTGATGAAGCCGGAGAACTTGGTTTGCATGTCAGCCTGGCCACTTCTGTGACGTGGCCACGCCACTTAGCCAGTCTCTGTTTATTTCCTCTCCCAGAAACACACATGTGGGAATGCTAATTTCTCAAGGTTGCGGTGAGGACTGAGGTATGAACACGCAGAATAGTTCTGTGACACAGGAAGTGGCCCATAGATGTCATGGCCCTTCAACTCAGTTGTGAACACGGACCTGTGAAGCGGAGGCTGCCCCTCTCACCGAGGGTCCTGCCTCATGGCGTGGGGGGAGGTGGCTTCCACCCAAGATTCTGCCTCACCGCAGCCTCTGCTCTTGCCCGCTTTGACGTGGCCTCTGAATGCTGCCGCATCTAGAGGTTTCTGGGTGACGTCAGAAATTCTCTGTGAATCCAGAGCAGAAGTCACAAATCTGCAGCACGGTGTCAAGTTAATCCCTTGGTCATGTTGTGGTTTCTTAGTCTCAGAATCCTTTGTGCAGCCTGAGTGACCGGGATGGATGGCCGGGACGTCCACTCCTGTGGAGCTTTACACTAGTGGGACCAGCTAACACGCTGCTTTCTCGTGTTTATTTTGCATGATGCAGGGCGTACTTGACGTGTGCCGGTCGGGGGCTCCTTCTGGTCTGCTGCTGACGGCCGTTGCATGTGTCTGTGAGGTCAGCTTCGAACACGTGACGTGTCCATAATTACACAGGCACATTTGAGACATTCGCGTTGTAACCTTGCAGAGCACCTGCTGCGGTGACTGCAAAGTGAAATCAGAACAGAAGGGAACGGAGGCCGGGAACGGAGGCCAGGGGAGTTTCCTCTGTTGTGTTCCCTCCTCTGCACCTCTCTGTCAGGCCACCCGGAGTCACCTTGTGAATTTAGCACCCCAAGGAGACCCGGAAAGCAGGACTCCTGTCACTTCCCTTGTCTCTTAAAAACCTCGAAGGGTCCTGTTCTCCCCAGAGTTGCATTTGAGGGTCTCATGTCGCTCTCCAAGCCTCTGCCCAGCCTCCGGCCTTTCTGCTCTGGTCTCTTACCTTGCTCCTGACACACAGGCTGCTGGTGATTCCGTAAATCTGCTGTGCGCTTGCCTGAACTGACTTTCCTTAGATGATCTGCCGGCCTTCTCCTCTCTCCCCAATCTTATCTCAAATATCTTTCTTTTCCCCAGTGAGATCTTTTCTGGCTGCTGCTTTCCCTCTCTCCCTAGATTTATTTTTCTTCCTAGAATCAATTACCACCTGATGTGCTGCATGTTTATTTCTGAAAGAGTTTTGGCCCAGACAGGACACTGTAGCTGGTAAAGCCTCAGGCGGAACCAAGGTCCTCCCATTTCCCCCACCCCTAGGAATTTACCTCTGGCACCAAAAAAATACCAATGGGCTACCTGTGCATCACTAATGCCCCCTCAGGCTCCACCCCAAACCTAAGCTACATATATGCCTCCACTGCACGTGTTCCACAGAGAGATCGCCAACCCTGGTGGGCGGGGGGAGATACTGCGTCCTAGGGGATCGGGGGTGTCTCTCCCTGCATTCTCAAAATAAAGGTCATTTATATTTCATACTTCTTATCTTTTCAGCCACCGCTGGTCCCCCACAGTTCTATCATATGGTTCCCTGACTGGGAACGGCAGACGAGAGGTTCCTGGGGCTTTCTCAGTTTGAGTCCCCTGCTGTTCAGGACCAGGACCGGACTGCATCCTGCATTAATTCCTCACTTCTACACTCAGGAGCTGTAAACTTGTCGCTGCCGGTTCACAAACAACACTGACCCAATTTACCACAGGTGAGCAACCCCCAGAGATTGCCGATAGGCCAGGCCCCAGGTGTTTTCTCCCCCTTTCTGTGAGTTTGCGTGACACTCTCACGTCCTTAGATAGCCCAAGGCAGAGTCTTCCTGGGCCAGCCTATGTCCACAAAGAAAGACTCTCACGTCCTTCAGAGCTTTTTAAGCTCTCACAGGCAGAGTGGTTACTAAACCCACAAGAAATCCACTCATATATTGGTGACGGCCAATTATTATGAGTTTTGGAACCATATAATATTGATCAGTCTAGAGTAAAAAGTGACGACTTTAAACTTAGTAGACCACGGTCCGTTGCCTCATCTGGCTATAACTCCGTGGGCCAGACCCCACACCAGATTTTATCTTGGGGACCATTTCCTGTCCCCCTCCAAAAAACCCCATACCTATCAATGGCTTATCACACTGACGACAAGTTTACAAAACTCTCTGTCTTTAAGCCTTTGTTTTGGGAATGTGCGTCCTTTCCCACTCCTCCAGGATCCCTCCCCATCCCCGCACTTAAAGAGATAATAGTGTCTTTCTCTGCAGCCTTTCAGAGCTTTCTCAGCATCTCCTTTCCTCCCTGCTTCCCCTTCCCTGCGCCGCGCACCAACCCATTCTCCACTGAGATGGGAAAAATGAGCCCAAACAGTGTTGAGAGGTACGCGTGGGGCTGCTTTAAGCTTTAAGCTGCTTTAAGCTTCACGCCGTGCCCCAACTCCACACGCGGTATCTCAGCTCTCATGCCACGCTCCAGGTCTGCGGGGGCTGGCTCTGACGCCGCGCCCTAATCCGCACATCCTGCACCTCCACGTGGTGGCTCAGCTCTGTGTCAGTTGGCTACTGACCGTGCCTCCGGGAGCAGGCCCAGCTTCACGAGGTGTCCCAACTCCGCCTCCCAGCTCTGCACCCCCATGTGCCGCCGCCACCGCCCTGTGTGCATTTCTGGGGGCAGTCCCAGCCCCACCCCGAGTGCTGTGTCCCGGCGCTCACCCCGCCCTCACTCTGTGTACACTACCCCCACGCTGGGTGTGCTCTGTGTGTGCACCAGACCAGTCTCCACCCCCAAGCTCAAGCGCGGCTCTGTCTGCCGGTTCAGATAGGAGCAACAGATAACTCATGCTGCTGATCTGATGCTGTTCATGTTTTCAGATATAAAATTCAGATTGTTTCTGCTGCCTCTTTTGTGTTCCAGCCATGACAAATGTTTTCTTTTAGATCCAGATATATGCTTAGAGATATACAATCTAGATGTTTAACAACTAAAATTTAAAAAAATAATAATAATTATAAATTCCTTTTGCTGGAAACCACTAGCTCTTTTCCAAGACAAGGGTTTTATGATACATGCAAAACAACAAAACTGACACTGTGGCAGAAGCAAACTTAAACCTTTTCCAGCCTGTCTGCCTGCCCTGGCTCAGCCCTCCACCGAGCCATAATTAACTATATTCAACTGATATTAAATAACACTGTAGCTGATTTCTCTCCTAAATAAAAAGATAAAAAATTAATTAAACAGGACATCCTCCAAAAATCAGATGGCATTAGACATTTTAACAACATAAAGAGATACTTATATATATGACATAAATAACATGTCAGTTCCTAAAGTTCTCTGGACCTTGTCCTCCTTATGGGAAGTCATTACTAATGTTATAAATGCCCTGTTGATTATATTTGACTCCTTCATACTTACTTAATTCTACAGATACCTTCTACTGTAGTTCAGATCCCAAACAAAAAGGCAAAACTTGACCTTCAAACCTCATAGAGACCTTAATATGGCTTTTTGTGTTTTCAACAACAGAGATAACAATAACACTTGTGACACTTGGAGTTCTGAGGCAGGTAAATCTACACAAGGTGGAGCTGCCTGGCCCCTCCATGGACCACGCTCAAAAGCAGCAGAAGACATTGGGCAAGAAAATACCCCATCCTGGCATTTTTTGAGACCTTACTCAGGGCTACTGGACTGTCCTAGCCCCCAGAGAGTGGATAAGCCATCCTAACTTCTCGCCCTCACAGGAAATGCCAATACTGCCAGATTTATCACTGACAGATCTGCTTAAACTTGCTGCCAAAGACTGACAGGGCTCAGGGCCAACAGCAGCCCCCTTTAAGGTGTCCATCTCAGGGTCCCAAGTCCCACTAAAAGTCTCAGGTAAGACATTCTCTATACTTGTGAACATAGAGGCCATATATACAGAGTTCTTCCTGAGTTTTCAGGCTGCTATATTAAGTTCTCAAATCTCTAGGGGGTATTAAAGGTCAACCTATGCCATTTACAAACAGGCCTATTTTGTGCAGGTCCCAGCTGCTTCCCAGTCCACCCAGTGGTGCCAAAACTTCCCTCCACCACTCACTCTACAGTCCTGAATCTTAAAATGCTTTTATTCCCTTATGTTTATACAGACTGACTTAGGCACACTGAGGCCCCAACAGCTTACATCTCTTACTGCTACTAAACCTCTCCTCAGTGATACAGACCACCTCCTTCCTTTCTTAATCACCAATTTCTCAGGCACCCCTGGTCAAGACTGGCAGATTAATTTTGTCTTCTCACTTTGTTTATACTTTTTCAGGATACATAAAAGCCTTTCACACAACCAGGGAGACTGCTAATATACTTTCTAAAGTTCTGTTACAGCAAATTATTCCAAGGACTACAACCAGGTTACAGCATCCCATACCTGATATTCTTGGCAACCTCAACAGTGATCAAAGTTGCTAGACTGTTATCCTGGTTTCGCATCACCAGGCCCTCGATCTAACCATCCTTTGCTTCTCATCTCTGCCTTCCAAGGCCTCATGGCCACGACTCTCGGGCTGTCATGTTTTGTTATCCAGTTTGTTTTCTAATTTCTTATTTTTACAACAGGACTCTTAACAGTATTTCCTAAAGACGCCAATGTCATGCATACCAGAGACAAGCCCTACCTACCTACCATTTTAACTTTTACCCTTTCAGATGGGGGAGTAATCACCTCTCATAACTTCACTCTTCCTAACCTCATATTTGTTTTTCAGAATTCTACCTTACTGTGGCAATAATTCTACCTCAACGTGTTCCTGATATAATGACATGTCTAAATCAAAAGCACCTTTCCCTCTACCTCACCTGGGTCCTTAAATATGACAGTGCCATGCCTCCTCATAACTCTTGTCTCTTTGTTTTTCCAGTCTGACATACATGCATTTACCAGTGAAGTTGTTCTGGCTAAAACACCTGGCACCAGCTTCTACATTGGCATCAACCGTCATCCCGTTGACTCCCCTAGACCCCAGGACAGCACCCTCTGCCAGCAGGAAGCAGTTAAAGAGAGATATCTTTGCCCCTTTTCATAATAATCATAAGACAGGATATGAAAGAGTTTTGGCCCAGACAGGACACTGTAGCTGGTAAAGCCTCAGGTGGAACCAAGGAGCTCCTTCCCCCCACCCCTAGGAATTTACCTATGGTGCCAAAAGAATACCAATGGGCTACCTGTGCATCCCTAAAGCCCCTTAGGTTCCACCCCAAACCTGAGCTACATATATGCCTTCACTCCATGTGTTCCACAGAGAGATCACCGACCCAGGGGGACACGCCGCGCCCCAGGCGATCAGGGGTGTCTCTCCCCGCATTCTCAAAACAGAGGTCATTTATATTTCATACTTCTTATCTTTTCAGCCACCACCGGTCCCCCACAGTTCTATCAATTTCTGTCTTTGCTTGTCGGTTGTCTCTATCCTCAGAGCTCTAAGCTTCGTGAGAAGAGCTCTTTTACCAGTTGGCTCATGGCTGTAGTTGTCAAGCTTCCGTGTTTGGCACATAATACACACTCAATAAATGTACATGGAATAATTGAATGACTATTCTGCCTGTGATGGTCCAGTTAGCTGACGTGATGGGCTATGGTCTGCCTCTGAGCAGTGTAAAGAGATATAATTTCTATGGACCTGCTTTTCTACAAAGGTTTGATTTTATCCTAACCTATGTACTTATCCTCGTGGTTCTCTGTAGTTAATGGTAGCTAAACTCTCTCCTAACCCTTTCTGCAAACCAGCTTAGAAAAGTGGAATTCCTGTGCAAACAATGCACTGCCCCTCGTCCCTGGATTGCTTTTGGTTGTGTGTTTTTGGGGTAGTTGTGTAATGAGGAAAAGAGTGCTTTAATAGCGAAACACGCAGTGGACATCTCCGTTCTCTACTTAAAACTCCAGGAAATTCCGAAGTCAGTGTTTAGGGAAGGCTAACGGGGTCTACACGGATGACGGTGAGGTGGTACAGTGTCACCCTAGTTCCACGTCTCGCTGGCCCTGCCATAAAGGGGCGCTTTCGTCACTGTAGAGTTTCCTCCACGTGGCGCAGATTAAGCTGGACACAGCTGCTTTATAGGATTCTCCCTGTTAAGGAAATGAAAGAAATCAGGTTCTGTGATTCTCTTCAATTGCTTGACAGATGTTTCTTACGCATCTAATAACACACAGCAGGTGTTGACCTGGACAGCAGGAATTCAGGGGTGGACACGAGCGCCTGGGGTCACACCGTAAGGCACGTGTGTTCCCTGGGAAAGGTGGTCATTAACAGGGTAACTCGGAGGTGTTGGGGGTCATGGCTGTTCACACGGTTTTTGATTACTTGCGTACTGGGCACCATCCACCAGCTTCTTAGCTGCCAACAAATCGTAGGCACAAAAAGCTGGGTGGTGGTTTACAGTCCAGGGCGACAGATGCCACCCATATTTCGGTGGAACTGATACACTTAGTACCATCGGGCTGCTTGCTGTGTTTTCTTGTTTCTGACACAGAGCAGAGATTACGTGGCCCTGGGGTTTAAAGCCGCAGTTACTCTGGGAGTGCCCAGTTGCCACCCCCGAGCCACAGCCGATGAAGGAGAATTCCAGCCAATGGTGCAAAGAACTGATGGGCCCCGGCAGCCGCCCGGGGTTATGTTTCTCTTGTTGATGGTCATCTCTGCCACCCGAAGCCCCTTCTAGGCCGTGACGTGTGCACATC